ATTTCCTCACAATGTTTTTCTTCATCCTTCACATTCATAGGCGCCGGCGGGGATTGCTGCTCGCGTACTGTGAAATTTACAGCAACCGCTAAGCCTCTAAGCTATCACGGCGTTTTTTTTTTGTTACACCTAATTTCGAGGCGGATACCAAAAATTTACAAAACCTTTGTTGAAATTTTTAAAATATCTCTTCAACTTATTATCAAAATAATATTCGCTAGGTATTTGAACTCTGCACATTAAACAATATTTCGTTTATTCTTGTCGCCCGTTATAATATAGCGGCCAATGTCCCCAAACAGTTCGTCCATTAAATGATAAATTATTCAGCCGTGTACAGGGTGCAGTGCCCAAATGACATTGACAATACTTTCTTGGAACAACAACATTATTTACAACTACATTATTTTAACAAGTCAAACGAATTAGAGTTAAAGATGTGGTTAAGTCGATAACATAAGTTAAATCGGTCAAAGCCTTTTAGATTACGGGCAAAAATAACTTTAAGAAAGGGTCGGGGCTTTATGTGACGGTAATATTTTTTATTAGTAGTGATAAAAGAGTATTATTGATTAATAAAGGTATAAGGAAATTGGTCTTTTCTTAGACAAGTATCCAAATAATTTAAGTTGAGGTTTATTGAATGTTGATAGTGATGGAATGAATAAAAGTGAGTGAGTTTGAAATGAGCACACTAACTGGAGTAGGTCTCCTTGAATTCCAAGCAAAACGAGCTTGTGAAACAGAAGGTCGTAGTCTAGACGATCGAAAGTTTTTTCGAAATCAGTAGTCCATCTGACCACAATTCTCCTGTATCTTAGACGGTCCTTTTATGAAGCTATCCTGTGTCAGGAATACCACGCATTACAAAAAGAGAGATGAAGCTGTAAACGTTTTTTTTTTTCAAAAAAATTATTGATTATATGATTATTATATTATGAATATTATGTACGTTTACTTGCCGTGTAGTGGCGGTTAAGAATATCCTCTACCCTATACCTTTCCGTGACAGTCGTAAAAGGCGACAGAGAGAAACAGACAGAAGATGGGCAGCAGCATGTTCCTGATCGTAACAAAAAATCCGGTTGCGAACCCGCTCGCCAACATCGTGACAACTATGGCAATAGACCCCTCGTGAGCAACGACGCAAATAGATGGCCCCAGTCTCCGCCGGCCCCGCTATTCCTGGTTACAGTGGCGACCATGGTAACGGTGGGGCAGGGAGTGCTAAGAATCTCCGGTGGAGGTTGCCACCTACGACGACTCAACCTGGCAACATATAACGCACGCACCCTGAGGACTGACGAGAGGATTCTGGAGCTGGAAGAAGAGAGAGAAAAGTTGTGCTGGAATATTATAGGATTATCCGAGGTCCGAAGAGAGGAGGAGGACTTCGGTGATTCTCGAATCCGGCAACTTGTTATATCACCGGGAGGGCGACCATCTGTCCCAAGGAGGTGTGGGATTTATTGTCCACAAGTCTCGTTAACAACTTTGTAAAGATTGGGAGTGTGTCGAAGAGGGTTGCGTACCTTATACTCAGAATCCGTATTCAATGAAAGTCATACAGCTTTACGCACATAATCCCGATGAGAAGGTGGAGGAAATGTATGAGGATATTAGGACTAGAGCCATGCATTCCTCCAAAACTCTTTATACGGTGTTAATGGGAGACTTCAACGCAAGACTAGGCACAAGAAAGGACGGTGAGCCGAAGGTAGGAAAATTAGGGATAGGGCAACGGAACCCAAGGAGCCAGCAGCTGGCCGACTTCATGGAGAAAGAGGGACTCTTTATGATGAACTTTTTCTTCCAGATGCGGTCTCACAGAAAGTGGACTTAGTCGAGCCCCGACAGTTCGACAAAAAATGAGATTAACTTCATTGTGACGACTAGACAAAAAGTGTTCAGCTATGTCTCAGTGATCGCAAGGATGAAAACTGGCAGCGATCACCGAATGGTTAGAGGCACACTGTACCTAAACGTTAAGTTGGAGAGGTCTCGTCTAATGAAGTCAACGCTCCGTCCCCCTCGTGCTAAATCCCGAAACTTTTCAGCTCGAATGACAAAACTGTTTTCAGTGCCTAGAAGATTGCAATACAGTGGACGACATGAATGACAAGCTCGTGGAAACTGTCCATGCGGTCGGAGCTTAAGTTCTGCAAGATCCGCCGCAGAAGAACACAAAAACTCCCCGATCACACTCTTAATCTCATGACTGTTAGATGGGAGATGAAGATGCAGTCGTCAGCAGCTTTGACAGCAACTGAACAGACAGATCTCCAAATGCATGCGGCGGGACTTACGCAACTTTAATGCTGCTCGTTTTGAAGAAGCGATCGAGCGGAACCAGGGCTCCAAAGTCTTTGCTAGAGATCTGTCTGCTAGAAAGAGCCAACTGTCAAAGCTGAAGACTGAGTGTGGCAGCATCGTTTCCGGGACACCTGAGATTCTGAGTGAGATTGAGAGGTTCTATGGGCAGCTGTACACATCATCGTTGGAGCCACACGCAAGTGTGAGTAACGATTCAAGAGCAAGTCGTATCCGACACTATTCCGATGATATCCCGGACGTCATTCTAAGTGAGATTAAAGTGGCTCCCCAGCACCTTAAAATTGGCAAGGCCCCAAGCGAGGATGAAATTACAGCGGAGCTTCTGAAGGCGGGTGGAAAACTGGTATTTAAAGTCCTTTAGAAGCTCTGCAATCTCCGCTCTCCTTTATGGTGGCACTACTCTGGAGGCGTGGAGCAGAAGTGCGGTGGTCTTGTTCTTCAAGAAAGTTGACAACACTCTCTTAAAGAATTAGGGACCGATTTACCTACTGAGCCGCGTCTACGTGCTGTTTTCGAGAGTCATTACGAATCGTCTCTCGCGCAGACTCGACGACTTCCAGCCTCCCGAACAAGACGGTTTCCGGTTTAGAGCGACCCCCCACCAGTTGGAGTGACGACCTGGTAAGACATGTAGAAACTCGCTGACAGAGGTAGGGCATTACTTAGATGGATCATGAAAGACCTGTCCAAAAATTTTGTATTATTAATATTGTTACCAGGCATTTTTAATATTAAATTTTCTGATGATCTCAAAACTTTCGCATGGGAATAGTAAAGGAATTTAAATGGATGGGAAGGATTACAGTGGATGGGATAGATTACAGAGAACATATTACCGCAGAATAAAGAGAATTACACTTTACGTACTTACTTTTGCCATGTTTCCTTTTGAACATATTTATGTTACTGCAGTTTTTATGTTTGCTGTAATTTTATTGAACAGTTGTGCCTCCCTCAAACAATAACGTTTTTCTTTTTGCCATAATTAGTTCGTGCAGTTATTACTCAGTGTTTATTCATACTTCTTAAATTATTTGTTATTTATATTATTCATAATTTCTTTTTTGTAATAATTATTATTGGACTGCCTCGTCGGTCTAGTGGTTGTAAATTTGGTTGATGATCATTAGGCCCCGGGTTCGAATACCCGGTCCGGGCCAAAAAGCAGTAATTGGGTTTTTCTATCAAGAAATTCTTAGTAGCTGCCCGGAGTCACGAAATTAGCGGTGTTTGACACCCATGTATTGGAAAGCATGGAGGAGTGATTTTAGCTGCATTTCATCCGAAAACTTGAAGATTTTTTTTAATATAACCCAGGCGGAACCGGGGCGGGTTGCTAGTTTGTAACATTTTACAATATATATTATATTCACCTTTATGAAATGTTACAAAGGACGTATTTAATGCCTATAAGCAATCTCTACCTGTCAATCTATGGAATGGTGACATTTTGACGTGGTAAATCCATATTTATTCATCCACCGATGCCTTCGTTACCTTTGCCGACCGGTTAGCCTTACTTACTTTCCTATCGCTCCCTCCTTCAATTAATATGCATAACTAAACTTATAGCGTTGAATAAAACTATTATTTACGGATTTTATCGCGTTTAATTACTTTAATTTATTTTTATTATTATCCCGACGTTTCAGGTGCTTTACAGCACCCATGGTCACGGGGGGGGACTGAGATGTTTGACGTCCCAATGTCATATTTAGTCCGGCTACCTTCAGTTTTTTTTTATATTAATTTTTGGTCCGATTTACGCAAAACGAGCTTATAGTATCATGAAGTCTTGCAGTGGTATGCTTGGGTTTGGGTTTAATTTTGTTAATTATATAGGATCCCAAGCAGATGGTAGCACCCAACCATCTTCTCTATTGAAATTTGGATGTTTTTTTAATTTCAATAGCCTCGCGTATCATCCTTGGTAGAAATCGGTGTTCTTTTGCGAGAATTTGTGGTTTATCAAATCTAATGTAATGGTGGGGACGATCTTGAACATGTTCGCAGATGAAACGTCGGGATAATAATAAATATAAATTGAAGTAATTAAACGCGATAAAATCCGTAAATAATAGTTTTATTCAATGTGTAGTGTTCGCGTAAACTTAAGAAATCATTAAACCTATAGCGCCATCAGTTGGCCTACAACAAAAGCATCCATAAAAAGCAATCGATACCTACATCATGTAGAAAGAAAAAAGACTAGCTGAATCGGCAATGGCTGTTTTTGTCTTCACCTTCCAAGAGAAAATCAATGTAATTACATTACATTGATTTTAATTTAATACCCGACACACTTACTAACGCTTAATTAAGCATTAGTGAGTGTGTCGGGTCGACCCCATCTGTACACATACTATAAAAATTAAGTAGAAGTGTGATGAAGGAAGACCGTAGCGTTCTACATCCTAAGATATCGTTGAAGCCAAATTGAAGCTGATCGCCGCTGCCACTAACCGTGAGTTTAATAAAGTTTAAAAAAACTTCATTTACCCTTCATGATGTTCTAGGCTAATTTTCTCTCGTTGTAGGTAAATTAAGTAGCAACCCCTAATAAGACTCATTTTTTTTGAGTAGAAAACTGTCGTGATTACAACAGAAATGGATTTAAATCCGCGCATTTTTCTATTCCGGTGTGTAAGACAACAAAGGACACTCACGTATTCGAACCGGTCCTTGCACAGCTGCGCGAGCAGGTGCAGGCAGCCGAGCAGCGTGAACCAGGAGCACCACAGCAGCACCTCGTCCATGTACTGCACGTTCACCACGCCGAACACGAATATGAACTTGTAGAACACGTAGTTCCAGAACTTGTCCTTGACGCGCTGCGCCTCCGAGACGCGCAGCGTTCCGAACACCAGCCGCTGCACCGCAAACCCGATCACGCCCAGCGTGCAGTACGCCATGTTGATCAAGCTCTGCAACAAACGCACCCACCGGGTCCCAGTTAGTTATATGTGTTTTATCTGTAATCTGGTGCCGTTACAGCCTGTTAAAGTCCACTGATGAACGTAGGCCTCCCCCATGGATTGCCAAATAAGGGAATAAACAGAGATATTTGAAATAGTAGCCAAGCGTTCTGGTATTTGAAAAGGACGAAGAGAGAACGAAATGTGAAATATGGGTAAATCAGGAATGTCTAGAACAGGTAAATGAAATTGTATACTTGGGGAGTGCTTTCAGCCGGGATGGAAGATGTGATTTAGATGTGGATAGGCGTGTCGCTGCCGGAAACAAAGTCAATGGTGCCCTGAATGCATTAGTAAAAAAGGCAAGGCGTGGTGAAGAGTGCACGCCTTGCAATACATAATGCAGTGTTGGTACCGACTTTGTTATATGGCAGCGAAACCTGGGTATGCCAGAAGAAGCATAAAAGCAAGTTGAATGCAGTGGAGATGCGATCTCTTCGTAAAATGTGTGGCGTTACCTTAGCCGACCGAAAGCGAAACGAAGAGATTCGCAATATGGCAGGATTGAAAGATGACCTTATCACAAAAATTGATAGGGGCGTACTCCAATGGTTTGGGCACGTTGAACGAATGAGTGAAGACCGAATGGTGAAGAAAATATATAGAGCGAAAGTAAATATTAAAAGGTGTCGAGGTAGACCGAGACTAACTTTCGAAGACCATGTGAGCAAATTGCTCGAAGAGGGGAGGGTCAAGAGTACTCGGATACCTAGACGTGCATGTTTGAAGAAGTTAATGAACCTGAAAGAAGCGAAAGAGGTATGTAAGGATCGTGACACTTGGCGATCTGTTCTCTCTGGCTACCCCGTTAGGGATTGTGCGTGAAGATAAGTAAGTAAGTAGCCAAGCGGGTTGGCAACCGCAGTTTTTTTGTTTTTGTCGTTATTAGGAAGACGCTGCCACCCATCCCCTGATGTGTTTCCCTCTGTCATCTCTTACGACACCCGCGGAATGATATGGGATAGTGGATATCCTTACACCGCCACTACACGATAAATTTCATCTGACTCTTTTTCAATAAAAGTAATAGCCTGTCCAGAAAGCGCGTTTTACGCGCGTATCCACTCGCGCGTTTTGATTTGTATTGCGTCCAGATGCGGCGAAATCACGCGCGTTCTTACGCGCGCATGAGATGAGACGGATTTGGTCAGTTATAAACATGGACTCGGCTACAGCGGTTGTGTTGTGGCTTGCATACCGTCGATGGAGACGTTGTAAACGAAGAGAAAGTCGACGATTTAACGTGCATCCCATTCTACGTGACAGAATGACGCATAGTATGTATATAACTTTATACCCAAAACTCAGAGAATATAGTGAAAAGTTTTTCAACTACTTTCGGATGTCAGTAGCATCGTTTGATGATTTACTAGAAATTATCAAAGAAGATTTGACTCCATGTCAAAATTATGTGGTACGGGATACTGTTTCTGCAGAAGAAAAACTCGTGATTACTTTGAGGTAATATTTTTTATTGCTTTAGTAATTATAAACTAAGACCCAATTAACAAAAATAAAGAATTTGAACAAAATTAACAAAAATTAGGAATCATTCTTATATAATATAGGTAGGTACTTAACATTTAATTTAATTATCGTATAGTTCCATTAATTCAGATTCATTGGAATCTTGTGTAGATGCCGGTGATGGGTTTTTGTAGCTAGACGTCTTTGGTGGTCGTGACGCAGTGCAATAACCTCGATTGTAAGTCGAAAAGGTTGCAGGTGGAAACGAAGATGTTGAAGGGTCTGTTGCGGTATATCCTGTTTCTCCAAAATAATCTGTCTGTCCACGTTGTGTCATTCCTGTTTGGTAATGACATTGTGTCGAAGGTTGGTAGTCGGAACGAGCAGCTGCAGGTTTAAGACACAGAGCTTGTTGAGCTTGAAGTACTTTCATTAATTCAATTTTTGTTTGAAGTCTGTTTTCCTCTGGTACTTTAAGAAGCTCTTTGTGTAAGGACAAACAAAATAGTTTGTCATCATCTGACTCCATTTGGTTTGATGTCTGTGGCTGATTTCCAGATGCTAAATTTGTTTTTATGATGGAGAGAAATTCTTCGTCGGCCGCATTTAGGTTTTTCTTCTTTTTCGCCTGACTACGTGGAGGTCTCATTACATCTTCCCCATCGCCCGAAAACTCTTGTTCTTCAGCTGCAATAGACGCGGTGTTGATGTTGCTCTCAGTTCTTTTATTCCGTGTCGATCTTTCGAGGAACATCAAACGTTCAAAATAAATATATTTGGCTTTGCCGGAGGCTCCTGATCCAGACGGTGTGGTTTTCTTCTTCTTCATTTCTCTTACAAAGCCATCACGCAACCCTTTCCACTTCTTCTGCAATAAAGTACCTGTAAACAATAAAAAAGATTAGAATAAAATAATAATTCTTATGTAACTTTCTTTTCAGATATTTGGCTACAGGATGTTATTTTGCGGACCTGCATTATGCCTACAGATTAGGAAAGTCTACAGTTATCGAAATAGTACAGAAAACCTGTTACGTCATATGGAACAAACTGCAAAATATAGTAATGAGAGAACCAACGAAGGCTGAATGGAAAGAAATTTCGAAACAATTTCAAAAATACACAAATTTTCCAAATTGCATCGGCGCCATTGACGGCAAGCACATCCGTATTATAAAACCTAATGATTCTGGATCTCTTTTTTTATAACTATAAGAGTTACTTTTCAACTGTTTTGTTGGCCGTATGCGATGCAAATTATTGTTTTATTGCAGTGGACATAGGCGCATATGGAAAAAGTAATGACTCCACAATTTTTAGAGACTCTATTTTATATAAAAAACTTGTCGAGAAAACTTTAGATATCCCAGATCCAAAGCCAATATCGCAAACAGATACAACCCCCTTACCTCATGTCATAGTAGGAGATGAGGCGTTTAGTCTGTCTGAAAATATAATGCGCCCTTATTGCGGTAAATCTCTAACAACTAAAAAAAAGAATTTTCAACTATCGCTTATCCAGAGCCCGGCGTTACATTGAATGTTGCTTTGGCATCTTAGTAAATAAATGGAGAATATTTCATAGACCGTTGAATGTAGACATAGAATTTGCAGAAAATATCATTAAGGCTTGTTGTGTTCTCCATAACTACGTAAGGTTAAGGGATGGCTACAGGTATGATCACACTCTTTACGAAACATCTCTGATTAATTTGAACACTGAGGCAGTGAGGCCTAATGCGAGATCATTGAATACAAGAGATAGATTTGCTGATTATTTTGTTAACGAAGACAAACTCCCTTGGCAAGATAAAATGATATAGTTTATTAATGTAAAATATGTGCAAGGAATATTATTATTTAATAAAATATTATTTACTTACCTAAAGTTTTTTTTTCTCCTCGGAATCACCAGCTTCACAAAAAATTTCTACTATTTCTTCCCAGTTCCTACGTTTAATGATTCTATTAGAATAATCTGATGATTCCATATCCCATATAGCTACCCTTTTCTCAATTTCGTCAATAAAAAGTTCCGTGTCAAAGTTATCACGCTCCATTTTGAACCAAATACGTCCACTCGCCACGGACACGCGCGTAGTACTGGACGCAGCAATGGCGCCGGAGTATCTCGACTCGCGCGGCGCACGCGCGTAAAACGAGCGAGTCGAGAGTCCCGCTCATTGCAAGCGTTTTACGCGCGTGTGAGGTAACGCGCGAGAGCATCTGGACGGCATGTATGTAGCTCTAGTATCTCGAGAACGCGCGAGTGCCTACGCGCGAGTGGATACGCGCGTAAAACGCGCTTTCTGGACAGGCTCTAAGCGTAATAATTTAAAAAAAATATATTATAATGGATTTCCGCAAAGTAACGCCTGATTCTATCAAAAGTATGCGTGACACAAGCGGTGATGGATATAAAGTGAATACTATACTTATAAACACACCTATTTTGCACGTGGGAGCGCACGCTTAAGCTATATTAGGTGCAGCACGAATGGGTCGGCTCGACCGAAGTAGGGCCACGCTCTTTCAGAATACCAGCGTAAAATAGCACCCTGATGGTACTGTATTTCGTGCGGTGAGTGTAAGAGAACCGAAGACCCTTTTTGCTGAAAATAATGAATTCCATCGAAGTCCTCAGGGGTGACAAGGCATCTGCATTTTGATTTTTAATCCAGGATAAATGAAGATGTCTATGAGCCACAACATCCACTTGCCATCAGGTGGACTACGTGCTCTCTTGTCACCCTTATTCTATAAAAACAAACCATCAGGACTGTGTGCTCGTTAGTCACCCTTATCGCACTCGTTCAGAACCAAAATCTAGATGCTCCATACGAAACACAGCAGCATCATGCTGTTATTTCATACTGGTATTCTGTGAGAGTTGTGGTGAGTAAGTGGCACCGTATATTAAACGTATTCAAAAATTTACTCGTAGCTAACACGCGCCTTGGGTAAAACCTAAGGTTAGCATTAACACAGCAGTTTACTAGTTATGCTAGGGATCTGTCTGTGGAGGAGTCCGTATGAAGCAGCACAACCTTTAATTATCTGTTACTATATCCACTGTCACATTTCGGTGACAAGTGTACTGTTAGGTCACTGCCATTCTAATAATAGTAACAGTAGTTGAAACCTGACTTATATAAAATAACTTATGGCTTTACATTAACGTATACTAGATACAAAAGTGAGTGGTATAAAATGGGCACGGTTAATGATAGAATATTCAGTTCGGTTAATAATAGATAATTCAGTAATTTATTTCATAGAATATGGATGACAATCGTGCACACAGTCCATCTGGTGGTAAGTGGATGCCGTGGCTCATAGACATCTACATTTAACCTCGATTAAGAATCAACAGGACTTAGATGGAACGCCCAGTTTCTATTAAAAGGGCTCTGATTTTCTATACTCACCATACAAAACACAGTAGCATTATGCTGCTATTTACGCTGACA